TAACCTATTCTAAGAAAATAGAAAAGGACGTTTCGATAGAAAAAAAGATCTTTAGACTTTATTTTCAAAAATAAAGAAAAACTTTGTATTTATTTTTATAGAGATAAAAAGTTTTTTGTTTATATTTATTTTTTAAAGATAAAGATTTACTTTATTTCTTTATCATAAAGTTAGATAAAGATAAAATAGCATCCCTGGTGAGCATATACTTCTAGACGACTAAAGTGCGGGATCTTATCTTAATTATTCATATATATAAGGCGCTGAAAATATGTTTTATTTTCATTTTTGTTTTATATAAATAAGCAAATGTCGATATACGATCGCTGGGAAAGTCTAGGAGACCCATTAGAAGACAAAAGCGCGATGGCTCGGCGTTTCCTTTTTACTTTTAATCTTGATATTCGTTATATGCCCAGTGCAAAAATACATATTCTTGATTATCCTGGTGATGAAACTGATTTTGACGACTTAAAATTCTCGTTTAAACGCCTTGCTGAAGCACATGAAATTCCTAATATTGAAGTAACATCAAAAATAGAAGATGAACCAGCTGCAAACCTTGTTTTCTTATTTTTATCTGATCCAAAACTTTTATCAACAAAAGTTAGCCATTTAACAACATATACATCATCATTTTATCCAACAATATGGGTTTTAGTTAAAGAAAAATATCATCCACGTACAAAAGAAAAAATTCCATCAATATGGGAACCATTAACTAATGCACAATTTTATGAAGTACGACCATCAATTAAAATAGCAAATGAAAAATGGATTGGAACAAGATTTACTATTGGTCGACAAGATATTTTAGAAATTATGAACGATAAAGATATTCATATGACTTTATCACTTTCCTCTGAAGCTCAACAAAGAGGTAGTACTACTCTTTAAAATGAACGTACATGCTTTTCTTTGTTTTGTCGAATGTTCTAATTTTATAAGATAATAAATGACTACCGAAGCTCATGATTTTACAGAAATTATTTCAAATAGAATTAACCCTTTCCGGCTGACTATTCGGAAAATGCCGTAACCCCTACAACAAAATATTGCCATTTGGCAACATCCGGCCGGAAAGGGTGAAATTGGTGATAAATTTCTTGTTGCATTTGTTAGAAATTGCGAAGAAATTAATAAAATTATTATACGTTATGCACATAAATCATAACTGCTCTTCTTAACTCACAATTCAACATCGTATGTAATTTTTGAATAAAACTTTTGTTAAAAGTTAAACATGAGACAGAAATCTGATCAGTTGCATTGGCTCAATATAATATTTCTCTATTTTAAAGATAGAATAGCGCGTAAGTGTTTATTATTAATGATGCAAAAACATTACATCGCAGATGAAAACATTGACAGAGTCTATAAAGAACTTGTCGAGATCAATGTTTTTATCTTTTTCGTGATAACAGCTAAATGTCTAGACAAAGTATTCAACGTGTTTAGTTATTCTTATTAGGAATAAGTACTATCGTTAAAACATAATGTGATAGATGTTTTAACACAAAAACAAAATCTTAAATCTAAACATACCTTCATGTGGAATACTATCATCATGTGGAGCAGACATGTTTTTCAATTTTAATATGAAAATAAATTGTCACTTAGAATAACTTTTCCCCTTTTCGATTGCGTTATTCTTTGTATGAATAGGTCTTTCTTATTTTCGCTCTTTATCTTCGTATTCTACCAATCAAATGAATTGGCGCAACTGTCAATGATATACATGAATATATATAGTGAAGTAGGAGGTTAAGAACGAAAATTTCAATGGTTGATTATTAAATCGAATGAGAAATGAAAGAATGTTAGTGTCGAGTTCTGTCGGGTGATTTTTCTTCTTTTTCTTGTCGTTAATCTCTAAATTAAATATGACGACAACAATCGACGTACTATTGAACAACTCCCAAAAATCTTCTTTGGTTAGAATTTTATTATTTATTATTTTATTGTAAAAATTTCTAAAAAAATATTTTTTGAAATTAGAAAATAAATGTTGGTCATTTAAAACATTTTCTACTCAATGCTAAAGCTCAACGATGGATGATTTGTGAATGGTTTTATTCAGATATTGACTGGTAATTTTTAATTATCTTTTCAAAAACAAAAATGATTCTTTCGAAATACAGCCATAAAATTTCAACAGAAAACTTATCTTAGTTTCTTTATTATCCAACGGATAAGAGATATGATAGAGTAATTATTCAAACAATATTAAGATTATCACAGTGGACTGAATATATATAATAATGTTATCATGGTAAATATAGAAAATGTCATACTACTTCTCGTATGTTCGTTCAAGCTAAAAGTTTTTTTTTAGTCGTTAAAAAAAAAATTACGAGAACGCATTCTCAGTAAATAGTATTATCACTGATTATGTTTCTACAGAATAGGAAAAAAAACTGTCATAATGATATGAGTTATGTTGACGGCTGCCACCTTCTCGTGATTCTTATCAGAGAAGAGAGAGAGAAAAAATAGCGTTTATGAGAAAATTTTATTGGCTTATAATTATAACTACCGAGTTTATTCCACTTTATGTTTTATTTTATCTCAGTAATATTTTTCTTTTTCATTATTGACAGACAATAAGTGACAGAGTTCGGTTTGATAAACTTAAGTAAATATTTTTTTAGGGTCAAATCTATTTGAATAAATTTCTAATTATTAAAACAGTTTTTCTTTTGAAATATCAGTGTTAATTGGTAGTTATATTCACCTTCGGTGATCCTTGACAGTGAGGTCATATTTTCAGTCAAGTATATCCAATAGAATAGAATGAGTGTCTTCAGTTAATAATGTAAACGATACGCGTGCTTTTTTTTCTATATATATTTTTTATTAATAAACGTCCTTGTGATGTTCAAGGATGTATAGAAACATTTCAAGGTAATGCGCTTAACGTTCTATATTTAAATTGAATCATAAAAATACCAAAACACTGGCTTCTATTTCTTTTTTTTTACGTTCTCTCTTTCTGTTCATTTACTCCGATATAGAACAATATACGCAACAAAATCCTTTTCTCGGTTACAAAATGTCGTATTTTTTTTCTCTTTCTCCTTTAATTTTTCTATATGTTTGTCATAATAACGACGTCATATTATTTTATAATGTATAAATGAAGACAATATCATTTTTTCCGTTTTTTTCTTTCTTAACCATAGGTGTTTATTTACTACAGAAAATGAATTTGAAAATTGTATGGAACATTTTTTTCCTGAATTTATTCATAATAAATCTATGCAATTTACTCGACATCAATGGAATTTAATACGACGTCGATTTGGTAAACCTCGAAGGTAAATATTCAAATACAAAAAAGCTAAGGCGATTAATATTTTTGTCAATAGATTATCATCTGCATATCTTGAAAATGAACGAATAAAATTATCTAAACAACGAAATTTACTTCGTATTATTCAACATGAAACAAATACACATTATCAATCAGAAAAAATCTTTTTAAATAATCTTCCATCAATAATTCATTCACCAATACAAATAGGATCTCGTGTTATTGGTTTGTTTTCTATTGAATAAAATTAAAATAAATCAAATAAATTTAGTTCGACTTTTTCGATTAAAACACTATGGTTTATATCGTGGACAATTCCTTGCACGAAATGATAATAATCATCAACAGTATAAAATTTTATTCGATGATCCAAATATTGGTCTATTGGATGTTAATGATTATGATATTATGGTATAAAAAAAAGAAAACCTTGAGTAATAAAAACACAAACAATTATTATTATTTATTATTTAAGTCTGAAGAACCACTTGAACGTACTGTCCTTGCTGATAGATTAAAACTTATTAAATTTGGTGAAAAAAATCAAGTATATAAATATATAGCTCTTTTTGTTCTGATAGATTTAGAGTTTTTTTTTGTAGACATATTTTAATGATGGTGATGATGATCTTCAAACAACGGATGAAGATGAGATGATAACAAAAACAGATGTAATTACGAAAATTCCAGATCGATTATTATATCTTATTATTCGAGTATCACGAATACTTTGTGCTAAACGTGATTCAATTGAAAATTTACGTAAAATGAATGATCAAGCTGAATATGAAGTTTGAATCTTTTGATTTTTATATTAATTTACGAAAACAAAATCTATTTAGATAAGTAGACAAATTCCATTGAGTGATGTTTTTCGACGAGATTATGCACATTTAATTCAATGGTTAGCTAAATTAAATGAATATTTAGCAAAATTTATCGATGAAATTAACAATATCTGTCGAAAAGTAATTCAACCGAAAGAAAAGAAAAGAAATTATTTTTTTAATTCAGATTGTTACTGACGAACAATTACTTGTTGTATTCAATGATACAAAATTCGTATGTGATAGATCACAACGAATAGCAAAAGAACTTATTAATAAACTTAATGTATGTTTACATGAATGAAAAAATCAAATAAAATCTTTTATTTTCATATAGATACCAACAATGGTTATTAACGAAGGAAATATTCAATTGATTACAAAACTTGTGGCTCTAGTTATTCAAATGAAGGTTTTTGAGCAAAAAAAAATTTTATAAAATTAAATGAAAATTTATTTTGTTAAAAAGGAATTTTCTGAAAGTGAAGGATCATTTTTGGAATTACATGCACTTGATGAAGCAAATGATAATTTTAAAAAATATATTCATCCATCACTTTTAACGTATAATTTTCTTTTTTTTCTTCTTCTAATTAATATTTATTTCTGATTATAATTATAGAACTTATAAACAATGTGTAGAAAGTAGTCTAACACAATTTAAATCTGGTTTAAATAATCGACCAGGTGTGGGTTCATTGCAATCATTTCTTCATACGCAAACACCATTAAATGATCAACAAACAAAAAATTCTTCTATTAATCAAACTTTCTTTAGTGTTTAAAATATAAATATTATGTTCCTGTTATTTTTCTTCTAGATGAAGTAATTTAGCCGATATAAATTCTTTATTATCAAAATGCTTTTTCTTCATCAACTTAAAGTTCTTTTATGGAAAAATTATATTCTCAAAAAACGAAGTCCTGTAAGTTATTTTCAATAAAATAATGTTAAAATAATAATGATTTTTTTATTAGTTTGTACTTCTATTCGAACTTATTATTCCATTAGTTTTATTTCTTGTAATGACTGGAATAAGAAAAACTCAACAAGCATCATTTAATCTTCAAAGTAATATTTTTGATTCGAAAAAAAAAGAAATCGAAATTTTTGTCTTTTTTAGCTAATTATACTTCGAATTTTCTTGATCATTCATATCGTCCAAGACCATTTCCATCAACAGGAGTTTTTTCTATTCTTCAATCTTTTTGTCCAAAAACAGCTCCAAGTAATGAGCAAGGTTTTAGTGTTTTTCCAAATGGAACGTAAGTAATAAACAATCGCAATCAAAAGGAAATTAATAATATTTATTTTTTAGATCATCAGAAATGTTAACAACAATCGATCGAATATCTCGTACAAATCCATTTTTTACTCAAAATTTTTCAATGTTTGATGTTGATTCATTACCTGATATGTACGAAACAATGATAGATCGTCCTGCATTTATTTATGATTCTGTAGCAAATTTAACATATACATTTACAAAAAATTTAACAACAATTTGTTCATTTTTTGTTAATCAACTTAATTATACCTATCAACAATGTGAACTTATATTTAATAATACAAATATCAATATAACTCAAGTAAAAAGATAAACTTAGACAAAATATATATTTCATATATATCTAAACTTTTTCAGTCAAGAACAAAAAGAGATTTAGCAGTAGGTGAACATATTGGTGTGATGAATAAAAAGGACAGAAATAATATTTTAACTGACGTGCTTTTTTTTCCTAACTTGATTTCTATTTGTAAACAGATTATTAATCTATTCTTATTTCTATAGGTACCGAGTCTTTTTCCATATTTAATTCACAATCGTCCAATTCGGGAAAAACGTGATATTGAAGATGATTTCGATATGGCTGATTATATTTCAATTTTACAAACATCACTTGGACCCTTAGAATTTCTTCAAGCAACAATGTTGATTGTAAAGATAACATCACAAAATTCATTTGCAAATTTAACAAACGATGAACTTCATTTATTAGCTAAAATTATTAAAGTAAATGAAAAATACTTTTTTTTCGAGAAGACCAAACAAACGCTGTAAAATTTATTTAGATAATACTTTTTCATCCAACGACCTTAAAACAAGTTTTTTGTTCAGTAGAAAAATTTAATTTAATTTTTCCTACGAATTCAACAACACTTAATCAAGTAAAAAGAAAACTATTTTTAAAAAAATTTTCAATTAATTTTTAATTAAATTTAGACGGATATACAACAACGATTATGTAATATGACTGAAGCACAATATCAAAATTTATCAAGTCTACTTATGAATTCAATATCAGATGATGAACTTCTTCAAGTGGTAAAATATCTATATTTAAATAAATTGATTTATTTTCTAATTTCTATTATTTAGTTACAACTGGATCATGTACAACTATCAACAATGTTGCTTCAACTTGATGATTATGCCGATAAAGTAATATAAATAATAAAAAAATTATTTATCGGAAACAAAAATGTGTTTTTTTCTAGCTTGAAAAATATGCAATGTTTGAACAAGGTTTAAAAGATTTATATGATGTTGCAAAACTTCTTCGAACTAATTCTTGTTATATTAATACACAAAATAATAGTGAAGCATCAACACCACAACCACCATCTGCAGAAGCTTTATCTGGCAATGTGGTAAAGTTTTTTTTGTATTATTCTTTAAAAATTAAGATAGACATTCCTCTGGATAGTATCCTTGTAATAAATTGATTCGTTCATTAAGAAAATGACTTCGTAAATATGAAGAATATTTGATGATTTCATTAAATCATAAACACCTTAATTATTTATAGATTCTATTCTCAAGGTAGTAGAATACATTAAGAAACTTTATATAAAATTATCTAAAGAAATTAATAATTTAATTGTTTTATTTGTAGGAATCGGTGGCAATGAATAAATTAAAAAATAAAAAAGGATTTTTTCCATTATGGCTTGGTATGCAAGAAGCTATATGTGGTATTAAACCAAAAGTAAATGTGAATTCAAATGGACAAACAAATGACGAAGATGATCAATTACCTGATCTTGGTTTGTTATTTTTTTTTATTTAATATAAAATAAATTTCTATGAAATTATTTTTAGCGGAATTGGGTATATCGGATAATCAACAACGACAATTAGGTCTTTTATTTTATGTTCTCTATGGAAATTCAATGATTTTATATTCACCAAATTCGTCATTAATCAATGGTGTTATATCAAAAGCAAATTCAACGTTTGTTCTACTTGATACAATAACAAAATATGCACATGAATGGACAAATGTATCAAATACTCTTAAAACATATTTTCTTGCTAATGGTACCGAAAAAAAAGTTGAATCGCTTAGACGAGTAATATATCAAAAAAAAAAAAAAACAATTAAAATATTTTATTTGAATTAATTTAGATGAAATTGTTTCTTCAACAATACGGTCCATTATTTCATTCACCAGCAATGAATAAAATTGTAAATATTCTTAAAAATTTAAGTGATCCTTCAATTGACAATTATATGAAACAAATAACAACAATTGATAAAGCTGCATGCAGTTGGATAAGTCTTATATCAGGAATTAATTTAAATGTCTACAAAGGTTTTGCTGATGAAAATGATTTAGTACAATATTTTTTACATCGAGCATATCATGATAATTACACTGTTTTAGCAAGTGTAGTTTTTACGAATGTAAATATAAATGATACAAAATTACCACCAAATACAATATATAAAATTCGACAAAATGCATCTTTAACACCATCAACAAAACGTGTTAGAGACCGATTCTGGGTACCATCACCAGCACAAAATGGTTTTATTTATTATGATTTTGGATTTAGTTGGGTCCAGGTAAATAAATATTCCTTAGTATGATTTATTAAATAATTCATTTTAGGAAGTAATTGATCGTTCTATAATTGATACTCAAGTTGGTCGATCTGTAGTTGAACCTGGTTTATTCTTTCAAGAAATGGCATATCCTTGTTATACTTATGACAAGTAATAATTGAAACTATTTTGTTTTATGGTTATACTAAATAAACACGTTTTTAGTTTTCTTCAAATGATTCAACATGCACTTCCTTTATGTTTAACAATATCTTGGGTATATGCATTTGCTATGTTAACTCAAAGTATAGTTTATGAAAAAGAAGTTCGATTAAAAGAAGTTATGAAAATCATGGGTTTAAGTAATGGTGTACATTGGGTAGCTTGGTTTATAACAATATTTAGTCAAACAACAGTTGTTATGGTTGCTGTAACAATTATTTTACATTATGGCAAAGTTCTTATGCATTCGAATGCATTTTTAATATTTTTAATATTTGAAATTTATGCACTTTCAACAATAAGTCTTGCGTATGTTTAAAGAATTATATTTACAGGAAGAAAAAATTTATTTGAAATATTTAGATTTCTTGTTAGTGTTTTTTATTCGAAAGCTAAAATAGCAGCAGCTTGTGCAGGAATTATTTATTTATTAACATATGTACCATGTATGTATATATCAATCAGAGAAGATTTAGCACAAGATACAATACCGAAATGGGCAAAAATGTTAGCGGTAAGATAAATTAGTTTAGAAAGAAAAAGGTGATGGATAGAGAAAATTATTATTTATTTTTTATTAGTCATTATTTTCTACAAGTGCTTTTGGTATGGGAGCTAAATATATAGCATTTTATGAAAATATTGGTACAGGAATACAGTTTGATAATATTCGTTATAGTCCAGTAGAAGGTGATAGATTTACTTGTTTTGAAACTGTACTTTTTATGTTATTGGATACATGTATACATCTTATTCTTATGTGGTATATTGAAAATGTTTATCCGGGTATTTTCATAGAAAGAAATAATTTCTTATTGATAAATTTTATTTTTAGGTACATTTGGAATACCAAAGAAATGGTATTTTCCATTTACAATAAGTTATTGGACAGGAGAATCATATAATGAACCAAATTGGATGACAAACTTTCGAAAAACAAAAATATTTAATTGGTTTATATGTAAAAAACATCATATGTCATATCAATTCCATTGGTCATCATCATCTTTAAATCAAATGACAAATGATTTGAACCGAAATCAAAGTAATTTAAAAAAAACACAGCAGTCATTTTTCACACATATATATATCGATATTTTTTTGATCTTTGTGCCCTCTTCAGCCCCTCCCCCTCATCATGGCCACCCAACAGACTTTAGGTTCGAACTCCCCGCGTCGAAATACCTCTAGAAATGTCTTTTCCAGAAAATTGATTTTCGATGTTTTTTTGACCCTGCGGACAGACAAGCAAGCAAACAATTAATTGTTACTGGACTCTTCTCTACGAGAAAGAGAATAAGAGATAAAAGAATTGTTTCGTAGAATAAAGAAAGGATAAAGTTCGTGTCAAGTACATATTCTAAAGAAAAGAATACACTCGTTAACATTATATTCACTAGAACGAATAGAAATTAATTATTTTTAGGTTATTTTGAACATGATGAAAATTCCAATCAACAAACAATTGGTGTTCGTTTAATAAATTTAACAAAAATATTTGATAAAAAAAAAATTTGCTGTACAAAATTTATCATTAGATTTGTATGAAGGTGAAATACTTTCATTTCTTGGACATAATGGTGCTGGAAAAACTACAACTATGTAAGTTTTTAAATCTTTATATATAATTTAAATTTAAAAAATGATAATGTAGGTCAATTTTGACCGGTCTTATACCTGCTACATCTGGAACTGCAACAATCTATGATCAAAACATTAATGTTGATATGGATAAAATACGAAAAAATCTTGGATGGTGTCCACAACATGTAGAATAAAATTTCTTTTTTTTCTTTTTCATATCAATCTTTATTTATTAATAGAATGTTTTATTTGAAAAATTAACTGTTGAAGAACATTTATTATTTTTTTCCAAATTAAAACAAGTACAAAGTAAAGAAATGAAAAAAATGATTGAAAAGTAAAAAAAAATTTTTCATTTAAAATATTCTAAAAAAACATTTTTTCTTTAGTATGTTATTTGATATTGGTTTAACATCAAAACGTAATGCTACAGTTTCAACATTATCCGGTGGAATGAAAAGAAAATTATCTGTTGCTATGTAAGATTTCTATTCAATAGATCACATTTATTATATTTTCTTTCAAAGGGCTTTTGTTGGTGATGCAAAAACAATCATTCTTGATGAACCAACAGCTGGTGTTGATCCTTATGCACGTCGTGCTATATGGGAATTATTAATAAAATTAAAACAAGGACGTACAATATTATTAAGTAGTCATCATATGGATGAAGCTGATGTACTTGGTGATAGAATTGCAATTATTTCAAGTAGATTTTAATTTTATTTTGAAAATTATTGTATCTTTTAAATATAGATGGACAATTAAAATGTTGTGGAACATCATTATTTCTTAAAACAACATTCGGTGAAGGTTATGTTTTAACATTAGTTAAAAAAGGTGAAAGAATTTTTTTGAAATTTTCATTTATTTGGAAAAATATTTTTTAAAGATCCATGGATGTCTTCGAAAGATGATGTAACAGCGACAATAACACAATGTATACCAAATGCATATCTTAAAGAAGAAACAAGAAAGTAAATGAAATATTATTTGTATTTATAGAATGAAACAAAAAATTATGTTTTTTTTAGGGAACTTCAATATGTTTTACCATTAAAAAGTCGTCATTTATTTCCTGAATTTTTTTCAATACTTGATTCACGAAAAGAATCCTTATCATTAACAGGTTATGGTTTACAAGATGTTTCATTAGAAGAAGTTTTTCTCAAAGTTACAGAACAATATAAAAAATCACCAAATGCAGCAGCAGTTGAAGCACAGTATAATCATGATAATCCGAGTGAAAGACATGAGAGTACTACTGATACACCAGATTCAACAATACCTAAAATAGAACTTTTACATGATCGTGTAACTGGAACACGTCTTTATGCTAAACAAGCTTTAGCAATAATAATCAAACGTTTTATATTTAATTATCGTAATATGCGTGGTTTAGCTACACAAATTTTGTTACCTGCATTTTTTATAACTGTTGCAATGACTGTGGCATTAACAGCACCTGGGTTTTCTGATCCACCTCCCATCACATTATCAACAGCAATGTTTTCAAATTTAAATTTTCTATATACACCTGTATCTGGTTTAAATAATTATAAATTAAAAAATAATTCACAATTATTAACAGTTAATGCAAATCCATATGATTTAATTGAAACAATACGTTATCCATCTGGTCTAGGTTCAACATGTTTACTTAATAATCCATATATGAATCAAACAACGTTAACATTTGAAAATTTAACTGGAACATTATGTGAAAAAGTTTATCAACATGATTTTCAATCTTATAAGAAATATGATATTAATTGGATAGATATGGTTAATAATAATCAATTACATCTTAATCGAACATATCAATTAGAAAACTCTTCAAATAATACATATTATTCACCTTGTTCTTGTTCAATAGGTCAATCAAGATTTTTATGCTCATCGTTTCATCCACCAAAATCATATCGTTTAATAACAAATGATAGAATATTAAATATAACACAAGAAGAAAATGAAATTCTCTATTATTTATATACAGCTGATAATCATCATTTAGATCGTTATGGTGGTTTATCATTTGGTTTAGCACAAGATTATATACAAGATAATTATCCAATTAATAAAGATAATCAATATTTACATAAATTAGCTGTAAAAAATACGGCAAGAATATTTACTAATCATAAAGGTTATCATAGTTTACCATTGTATATTAATATTATGTCAAATATTATTCTTCGAGCTAATTTACCATTAGAAAAAGGTCTACCATCTGCATATGGAATTACAACTATTAATCGTAAGTTAAGTTTCTAAACTGGAAAGTAATTTTCTTTTATATAATTTTAGATCCAATGAATGAAACAAATAATATGTTATCAACTGAATTTATTTTACAAGGATCTGATGTTATTATATCAATATTTATTATAGTAGCTATGTCATTTGTACCTGCATCATTTACATTATTTCTTGTTTATGAACGTGCAACTAAATCTAAACATATTCAATATATCAATGGTCTTTATCCATTAGTTTATTGGTTAACAAATTTTGTTTGGGATCTATTGAATTATCTTTTACCAGCTACATGTGTTATAGTTATTTTACGTTTATTTAATGTTCCAGCTTATGTTGAAGGAGAAAATTTTCTTGCTGTTATAAGTTTATTTCTTATGTATGGTTGGTCAATTATACCTGTGATGTATCCATTTAGTTTTCGTTTTACTGAACCAAGTAATGCATATATATTTTTAATTGTTATTAATTTATTTAGTGGTATTACATGTATATATACATCATTTTTTCTTGAAATATTTGCACTTGGTAGTCCAGCAACATCAACATTAAGTATTATTACAAGAACAATGAAAAATATATTTAAAATTTTTCCAAATTATTGTTTGGGAAGAGGTTTAATCGATATTGCATACAATGTAAGTTTTCTAGAAAGAAATTTTTTTTATAATAAATGAATTGAGTATGAGGGGAGACGGTCAGTTACTCACAAGTGTCCTAAACCCATGAATATAAAACTTATGAGTTAATTAAATTGAAAATATTTTCTATTTTCATAGGATTATTACAATTCATTTTATAAAAAAACTGGTTTAAATGATCGTATTCGCACACCATTTATATGGGATATAACTGTATCAAATTTAGTTTCAATGGCTATATGTGGTTTAGTGTTTTGGATTTTAACATTATTACTTGAATATGGATTTTTTTATTCTCCATCAATTCCTGATGCTTTACCATATTCACATTTAGATGAAGATGATGATGTTGCACAAGCTCGTCGACAGATACTTAATAAAACTGTTGATGATAACATATTAGTTATGTCAAATTTATCCAAATGTTATCGTACAAAAAAATCGAAGAAATTAATTGCTGTTAATAATATATGTATGGGTATTCGTGCAGGTGAATGTTTTGGTTTATGTGGTGTTAATGGTGCAGGTAAAACAACAACATTTCGAATGTTAACTGGTGATCTACGTCCAACAGCTGGCTATTCATATGTACATGGTTATGATAGTACTAAACAAAAACAACAAGTTTTTAAATATATTGGATATTGTCCACAATTTGATGCACTTTTTGATGAATTAACACCTGTTGAACATATGCTGTTAATGGCACGTTTAAGAGGAATACATTGGCAAGATGAAAATCAACATGTACAACAATTATTAAAACGTTTAGATTTATGTGAATATTTAAATATACCTGTCGGAAAATTATCATTAGGAAATCGAAGAAAATTATCTACAGCTATGGCACTTGTTGGTGATCCTTCAATTGCATTTCTAGATGAACCAACAAGTGGAATGGATCCATCATCAAGAAGATTTCTATGGAATGTTATTAGACGTTTAGTTAAAGAAGGAAAATCAGTTATACTTACTTCACACAGGTAAATATAATTTCTTAAAAAAATTGTATAAAACTATAAGTTTTATTATTAATATATAACTTATTATTTAGTATGGAAGAATGTGAAGTACTTTGTTCATCAATAGCCATAATGGTAAATGGTACTTTTCGTTGTCTTGGTTCAAATCAACATTTAAAAAATCGTTTTGGTGATGGTTATACAATAAAAATTCGTTTAAAATCTTCAATAAATTCAACAACTGATCAATCAATTGTTGATTGTTTTTCATCGAATTATATTCTAAAAGAACGTCATGTAAATGTTTTACAATATGAAATAGCTGAACAATATGTTTCATTAAAAGATATTTTTTCTAAACTTGAAAATTTATTAATTGATCAACGTATAAATGATTATAGTGTATCTCAAAATACACTTGATAATGTATTTGTTAATTTTGTACGTGATCAATGTGATACATTACAACGAACAAATAAAAAATCAAAACGAAGACAAGACCATTTCAATGATATTCTCGATGATACATTTGACGATGGATCATTTGTTGTAACAAAATCAACAAGAAATAATAACAATAATAATAATGTAAGTCTGGAGAGAATGCCAACGAATATCGCTTGTAATTGTAAAATAAGCACCAACCCTCTTGAAGTGTTAGATTGTTCGAAATTGTGATACTATCCGTTTATGAATGAGTCATTACACTGTTAGTCATTATATTATTATAAAATCTTTTATTTTAATTAAATTCAAAATTTTTTTCTATTTAAAACGAAAGTAAATTTCTGTTTGAGTATTGTATTTTTCATTTCATAATTCATCGATAAAGTTTTTAAACGAATAATTTCTAATCAAAAATAAATTTCAATTTCATATCGGTTATTTAAACAGTTTAATGACTCATTTATTCTTTTTTTATACACACACTTGCATAAGCGTTCACTTTATATAAATTCGTTTTGCTTGGCTGCTTCTTTGCTCTTGCTTCTTTTTTTTTCGTCGAATACTCGTTTCATTTTCTGTGCAATATTATGAAAAAGTTTTGGTGTGTTTGTTATGTTGTTTATTAAAGTCATTTGTTTTTCTTTTTTCTTGTTTTGACTTTTGGTGCTCGTTGTTGATGCTTTCTTGAATAAATCTTAATTTTTTTTCTAATAAAACAAAGACAGAAGAAATGCTGCTCACTAGCCCGCTTATTGTCAATCCTAAAATGATCGACGCATTCATCACTAAAATACACGATTGAGTTATTCGGAAACAAAAAATTAATTTATGTTTATTCTAGGATCGACAGCGGATAATCGATTATATCGAACTTGAATGTTAAAAATGGCGAACAAATAAATACAGTTTCTGTTTCTAGTCAGAAAGATTATCGTTTTTTCTTTTCTTTTCTTTTCTTTTCGTTCTCTCTCGTATGTATTCTGTGATATCTTACCTTGTTTTCTTTTAATTCATGTATAACAAGAATATTAAGTAAATAATAAGAAAAATATACCAATAAATTGCGCGTATATATCGTTTTTTTTCTTCAATTATTAATTTTATATTATTGAAGTTTGCACTTATTGAAACAATTTTTTAGATTTAAATAAAAATGACAGCTGAAAAAATTGTTGAATATATAACACAATGGCTTAAAAATTATCAACAAAGTAGTTTTTCTAAAGGTTTTGTTATTGGTGTATCAGGTGGAATAGATTCAGCTGTTGTATCAACATTATGTGCTCGTACTGGTGCACCTGTACTTGTTATTGAAATGCCAATTCGACAATCATCAACTGAAATACAACGAAGTCGAGCACATATTGAATGGCTTTCAAAAAAATTTCCAAATGTAACAGGTGGTGAAGTTAATTTAACTGATGTTTTTGAAACTTTTGAAAAAACAGTTAAAGCAAATCCAATTAATGAAGAAAATTCTTATTCAGAAGTTGCATTTGCTAATATGAGATCACGTTTAAGAATGGTATGTATAATTATATTCTACTTCGAAAATAATCAAATTTCTTTTTATTTTAAGGTTAATTTATATTATTTTGCTTCACTCAAAGGTTATCTTGTTGCTGGTACTGGTAACAAAGTTGAAGATTTTGGTGTTGGTTTCTTTACAAAATATGGTAAGAATTAATTAAAAGGAAAGTTTTTTTTTTAAATTTTGTATTGATTAAAGGTGATGGTGGTGTTGATATAAGTCCAATCGCTGATTTAATGAAATCTGAAGTACGTGCTGTAGCTGCTGCATTAGGTGTTTCACAAGAAATCATTAAGGCACCACCAACTGATGGTTTATTTGGTGATACAAGAACAGATGAAGATCAAATTGGTGCTACATATGATGAACTAGAATGGGCTATGGATCATCTTGATTTAGCTAATACAAAACAAGGAGAAGCAACATTAACTGATCGACAAAAACAAGTTATTGAAATTTATAATAAACGACATAATGCGAATTTACATAAAATGGTTGAAATTCCACGTTGTATTATTCCACCGGAATTAAAAGGAAAACAACCATAAGATTTAATTTCTCGTTGCTCAATACAACAATTAAAAAAAAACATTTCTATTAAATAGATTTCATTTCTTATGTGTATCTTTGTGTTTGTTAACTTAGAAGAATTTTCTTATTATACCCTGATAACCTTCACTTAACGTATTCAAGCGTGATAACGACTAACTTTCACTTCTAAAAAAAAGTCATATATTCATCTGTATTTTGTTATTTTATCAGTTATTTAATAAAATCAAGCATATAGTGATGTAGTAGGTTAATGAACTAATCTTTAAAATAATTTATCAGTCAATTTATACGTATATAGATTTGTTTAAATAATTCAAAATACAAAAATAAAATCCTGTTTATGAACATGTCATTTGTGGATCATATTGAACTATTTTCATGTGTTCAACGTGTGTAATCAATAAGACATAATTAGGAAGAAGAAGAATATCATATATAGTATTAGTAGAACTTAAACTCATATTCCAATTGGAAATTTCTGTGCCGGATGAATCATAAATACGCAAACCAAATTGAGTATTAATAAACCAAACTCTTTCACAATCATCTACTGCTATATGAGAACCAGCGGTAGTTATTGTATAATTAACAAATATCTTTTGATTCCACATTGAATTTTCATATTCACATGAAGCAATACTTTGATCACTCCATGATGATACATACAAAAAAGTATCATTAACTTGGGCGATACCATGAGCATTTAGTAATGGAACTGGAATTTGTTCCTAAAATAAACTTTTGAGTTATTTCTAAAAAAAGAAAATTTTAATAATTATTACTCGGTATGTATAATTCATTGGAGAATTAATATCAAAAACAGTCAATGATAGATTATTTTGTGTAGAGACTATCATTGTTTGTCCATCATTTATAAAGATAATTTTACGAACTGAACCCAAACTTGGATAACTGACATTATTGATATAATTATTTGTTTGCTTATCTCTTATGTTAATAACAGAAATGCCATTATTAGCTGTGAATGTTTGATTTTCATACAAAGCAAGAGTGAGTATAGTGTCTATCGAACTATTTCTTATAAACGCTGTCGTAAGCGGATTGAACCAGTATAAATTACCTGGATCATAACCAATAACAGCTGCTTCTGAAGGTATAGATGAATCATATCCAAATGCTGCAGGTTTAAATGTAAGATTTATTGTAGTTGGTGTCACAGTTTTTAATCGATCCATAAGTTCAGTTATATTTGATATACAACATTTGCTCGCATTAGGAAATTGTTGTTGAAGAAAATAGAGTCGAGTTCCATTAGACATACTTAATTTATATGATGTAGGGAAATATTGAAAAAATTGACATGTATTATTTGTAAAACAATTTAATGCAACATAATCATTATTACTGATATTTCCAAAGCGGCTTTCACATAGACATTCTTGACATGAATTATTAAAACGTACGGTTACATCTGAATTTGAACTTACAGATTGAAAATATACATTTTCAATATAAGGAATAGACATAGTAGAGATTTGAATGATAAGAACAGCAAACAGGAGAACGATCATCATATACTTCTGATTTGTTTTGTTGAAAATAACCAAGTGTATTTGTAATATAAAATAGTACATTGAAGTAGCCGTACATTTTTTAGTAGATTGGTAAATAAAAATATTTTTTTACATCTTCCGATACTCTATTTGTATTTATTGCACATTTATCAACCTACTTTCTATCATTGTTAAATCAATATTCGTTTCCGAGATTGCAATCTACTTTTTTTTATATTACATGTAAATTTTTAATTTAGCATGGAAAGATATTGGAAACAATATTTACACTTCAATTTCATTGAAAATAAATTAAATTTAAAAAAAAAAGTAAGTCGGATAAATGTCAATAACATAAAAAACAAAGCGATATGATTTTGACAATTGCAAAACAAATTAATACACAGAAATAGTTTTGTATAATGTTTTAAAATAATAGAATGTAAGAATGATTATATGATACAAAGTTTAAAGTCTTTGATAAATAACACAACATAATGATAGTGCATATTTTACAGTATAAGAGATAAGCGTGCAAGAACTAAGTTAAATATGATATACAGAACAATAAAGAATAATGGACTTTTATTCGCGTAGTAAGACATGCCAAGACAATCAAGTCGTTATGACTGGGCTCATTCATCTATTTTACGTGTTTTTGATGTTTTATTTTGGTCATGGCTTAATCCTATACTTTCATTAGGTTATAAACGTGAATTGAAAGATGAAGATCTTGATGATTTATCAATGAATGATAAATGTTCTGTAGTATTAAATAAATTAAGTTATTATAGTGATAATAATATTTGGTTAACAGATACAACTACATGGCGTATCGTTTTACGAGCTTTTTGGAAACAATGTGCTTTTGTTATATTTTTATTACTACCATATAATGCAGCACGAGTTGCTCAACCATTACTTCTTCGACAAATCGTATTATATATAATTGATCAAAAATCTCAACCTGATCCACCATTAACATCTATTCAAGCTTATATTGGTTATTTCTATGCTTTAGGTTTATTTGTATGTTCAGCAACACAAGCTTTTCTTCATCAACAAGCTTATTTTCGTACGACTCGTTTGGGTATGCGTGTTCGTAATGCACTATCAGCAACAATTTATAAACGTTTATTATCACTTAGTACAGCATCTTTACAACAAACAACAACAGCTGCACAAATAATTAATTTAGTTGCTAATGATGCAAGTAAATTCGAAGAATTTGGTCAATATATGCATTATCTTTGGGAAGTACCACTTCAAGCATCAATTGCATTTGGTTTAATATGGTGGTCAATTGGTTTATTACCAACATTATTTGGTTATGGTGTACTTGCTGTTCTATTACCTTTACAATTAGCATTTGGTCGAAAATTTAGTAAATATCGTCGAAGAACAATGGCATGTGCTGATAAACGTGTACAAGCAGTTAATGAACTTGTTAATGGATGTCAAATTGTTAAAATGTATAATTGGGAAAAATCTATGGAACAACGTATTACAAATTTACGTCAAAATGAATTAGCTAGTATACGTCGTGCAAGTCGTTTACGTGCTGTTAATATGGGTTTATATTTTTCTTCATTACCATTGATTTCTTTAGCAACTTTTGGTGGTTATTGGTTTATGGGTAATGATTTTAAACCAGTAGATATTTTTACTGCTCTGACATTTTTTGCTTTAATGAGAGTATCAATAACAAATTATTTACCAGTTGCTATTGAACGTTTTGCTGAAATGTTAGCTGCATCAAAACGTATAGATGCATTTATGCGATTAACAAAAATTCAAGAACAAATAACAACAGATGAACAAAATCAAACATTAGGTATAGGTATATCTATGAATAATGCATCGTTTTCATGGTCAGAAACAACTTGTTTAAGTAATCTTACAATTAATATTGATCCTGGTACATTAGTGGGTATTGTTGGACCTGTTGGAGCTGGCAAATCATCTTTATTATCTGCCATTCTAGGTGAAATGACATTAATAGATGGTACATCTCGAGTACGTGGTTCTTTTGCATACGCTGTACAATCACCATGGATATTTGCCGATACTATTCGAGCTAATATTCTTCTTGGTAAACCATTTGATGAACAACGTTATGCAAATGTAATACAAGCATGTTGTCTAGATGTTGATTTTGCTACATTTGGAGATATTGGTGATTTAATAGTCGTTGGTGAAAAAGGTGTTAATGTTAGTGGTGGACAAAAAGCACGTATTGCATTAGCAAGAGCATTATATGTCGATGCTGATATCTATTTATTAGATGATCCACTTTCAGCTGTAGATCAGGATGTAGCTCGACGAATTTATGATCAATGTATTGGACCAAATGGATTATTAAAAGATAAAACACGTCTTTTAGTTACTCATCAGACACATTTTTTAGTTGAATCAGCAAATCAAATTATCTTTTTGAAAGATGGTAAGATTGATCCAGAAGCACGAATCGAACAAAATAATGACATACAATCAACAACAACAACAAATGACCAAGAAATTGATAAAGAAGCAGAAGAAATAATATTACAACCATTACTAACTGATGTAACTAAAAGTACTAAAGATAATAAATCAATTATTGCTAATGAAACAGCTGCAGTTGGTGCTGTAACATGGTCTATCTGGTATAAATTATTTGCTTCAACACCTTTCAGTTGGTTTGGTCTTTTATTATTAATTATTATTATGATTATTGGCGAAGCAACCTATGATGTATCTAATAGATGGCTTAGTTTATGGTCAGCTAAATCACATGAAGAACAAAGATCATGGACGAATATGTATGTCTATTTAGGTTTAACATTAGGTACACTTATTATTTCTTTGTTACGTGCACAATATTATTTTTATTTGATTTTATCCGGTTCAAATAGTCTACACAATAGTATGTTAAAAGGATTGTTATATACATCACTTCGATTTTTTGAAAGTAATCCAAGTGGACGTATTTTAAATCGTGCTAGTAAAGATCAACAAGTTATTGATGAATTATTACCAATGACATTATTTGATGCTATACAATGTTTATCAATGACAGTAGGTTCATTAGTTATTATTGGTATTATTAATCCATGGGTATTACTTATTCTTATACCTATTTTACCTTCTTTTTGGTATCTACGTCGTTTTTATTTACGTTCAAGTCGTCAAATAAAACGATTAGAAAGTGTAACACGTAGTCCTGTTTATGCACTTTTTTCTTCATCTTTAAATGGTGGTCTTTCAACTATTCGTGCATTTAATGTACAAGATGACTTTGTACAATTATTTATTGAACGAGTTGATACAAATTCACGTGCTTTTTTTATTGTCATTTCGGCTGTACGTTGGTTTGGTTTACGACTTGATCTAATGACATCATTACTTACATTCGCTACATCGGCTTTAACAATAGCATTTCGTCATGATATTAATGCACCATCAGCAGCACTTAGTCTTATGTATTGTATTAATTTAACGATGCTTTTTCAATGGGCTGTAAGACAATCAGCTGAAGCAGAAAATTTTATGACAAGTGCTGAACGTATTCATGAATATGGGCAATTACCATCGGAAGAAGATAAAAATAATAATGATTTACTTATACAACCACCTGATGATTGGCCAAATCAAGGAGTTATTGAATTTAAACAATATTCAATGCGTTATCGTATTGAATTAGAACCTGTTCTTAATAATATTAGTTTACATATTGAACCAAAAGAAAAAATCGGTATTATTGGTCGAACAGGTCTAGTATTATTTATTTTCAAAATTTTTCATTAATAATTTTATTATTTCTATGAATTTCAGGTGCAGGAAAATCTTCTTTATTACAAGCTATATTTCGACTTATTGATCGACAATCTATAAATGGTCAAATTCTTATTGATGGTATTGATATAAATTATATTTCATTACATGATCTTCGATCACGATTAAGTGTTATTCCTCAATTACCAATTTTATTTGCTGGTACACTTCGTTATAATCTAGATCCTTTTGAACAATATACAGATGATCAATGTCTTTCAGCACTTGAATCAGTTCAATTAAAACATATTGTCTCTAATCATGCAGCTGGTCTTCATCAATTAGTAGCTGAATCGGGTAGTAATTTTAGTGCTGGTCAGTGTCAATTAATATGTGTTGCACGTGCTATTTTAAAACAAAGTAAAATATTAATGATTGATGAAGCAACAGCAAATGTTGATCGAGCAACAGATTCATTAATCCAGAATGTTATTGGAGATAAATTTCAAAATCGAACAATTCTAACTATTGCTCATCGATTAAATACTGTTGCTAAAAGTGATCGAATTATTGTATTAGATCATGGTATGATCATTGATTTTGATACTCCAAATAATGTTTTACCAAAACATGGACTTATTCAACCAGTTAAAAATGATGATGAGTTGGTTAATTTTGAATGATACAATTAGAATTCTATGATATTTTTTTTTATTGACTAAAATAGTTCATATAAATGTTCAATATTCGAAGAAAAGATTGTTTTTACAAAATTTTATTTAATAAACGAAATCATATCGTATTTGGAAAAATATTTTCTGAGAGTGGGTGTGAGTGTGGGCCTATAAAATATGTTCATATGACACTCACTCATCCATTTTCAAATATTTCAGTCGTGATGGAGACGTTAAATTCATTTGATGTAAATACCAACTGATTATGTCCTAATTAAGATTTTCAAGATGGAGAAATCTCTTCAATTAGTCAAGAATAATACTCAACCTTCAAATTTTAAAAGTTTGTCCGTACAAAAAAAAAAGAATATAATCAAAATATAAGGAGTAAACTCATTTATGTTGAAAAAAGACTTTGTATATTATCATGAGAATTTAATTCAGTTCTGTTGCGAGCACTACTGTGCATAATAACTTTGGCGAAAAAAAAGGTTAAACATTACAGTAATCAATTATCCAGATTACAGTGAATGTATCTTTAAGAAATGATAACATAATAATAAATATTATAAATTAGTTTCATCGTTTCTATTTTGTCGTCGTATAAAATCTTCGTAAGTTGGAGGTAGTAAAAACTGTTGCTGTGTTTTAATGGTTACTAAACTTTGTCGTCTCATTTCATCATATGTTGGTGGTAAATCTGAAATTTGTTCTTCGACTATTAGTGATGCTCTTCTATCATACAAATTAATGTTTTCTGGTCGTTCAGATTCTATTGAAACCATCATATCTCTTTGTAAAATATTTCTATTCCAACCTTGTTGAGATATTGGCGGTACATTAGGATTTGCGTTATGTGGTAGTCTTATGCTCGAATTTGTTCGTGACAAAACCGGTGAATCACAAGGTAAACTACAGCGTATTTTGGCACACACTCCAATGAAAGAAACGCCGATGACCGTTCCCAATAACACAAATGATACCGTTATATTAATATCAGTAGATGTCTGTTTTTTACATCGGCTAGAGTTTGTCCCACAAGGATCGTGAACTAGAAACCGAAAAAATGTTTGTGAATTAATATAAAAGAATGTTCAGAATAATTTATTATTTGACTCACTATGACAGCACCATGTTTGTGATGAATGACCACACTTTTTATAACGACCTAGACATTACAATTAACATAAAAAAAACATCATGAAAAAGAAGTATCAAATGCACCTGAAGAGATAATAATTCACTGCTAAAACGATAGTCTTGCAACTTAGAAATTTTAAATTTATAGGAGATAAAAGCAAACTGAAGTACAGTAACAATTCACTCAGATTTGATATCACAAATAAATGACATCTTTTCTAATAGATCTCAATACGAAATATCAAAAGATGAAAATCGTAAGTATTTTGTTTTATTCGAATATCGAAAAAAAGTTAATTTGCGTCTGAAATAAAGCAAGATATCAAAAAAGACCCATGATAATGAATAACGAAGTTATAGTTTTATAAAATCATCTCAGTTGTAATGTATGATTACAATCTACTTAGAAAGTGTTACCTTCTATATAATAGCAACGGTCTTTCGGGTGTTTTTGATACCATTCATTATATCTTTTAATTCCTTCTATATGTTCATATGTCTTCCTATCGATGGTGTGAAAATAATATCGAGCAGTACTTGAAGGTATTATTGGAACTTTATTGTAATTTTGTTTGAAAGATGTATCTGAAGATAATACTGATAACTTGCGTCGAATAGGATCATGATCTAATGCATATAGAACACTATTTCCAATTGTTGTCGACATGATTTTTTGATAAAAGTTGCTTAATTCAGAGTCATCGGGCTGGACAAATCGTAGTGGAATAAGAAGAAAAATTAAGTTTAAATAATGTATCATTATCAATGAAATTGAATATAAATCGTATAGTTTTATTATATAAATACTACTAAATCACAATTTCAGTTCACATGGTATTAATATAAATGGTTTTATATATTTTTCTTCTAGTTTTTATTGATATAGAAAATGATAGGTAGACTTTATGCAAATATAATAAAAGACAAATTAAAAGAATATGTATATATATATAGAACGAAGATAATAAATCGTATAGATGAAAACAACCATCCGATGTGCAAAACAAAAATATGCAGAGAAATCCTATCAATCACAACGGAAAAGAGAAAAGAGAAAGCAGTAAAGAAAAGGAAGCGACAATGTATATATATATAATGAAATAGATCAATAGACATAACTGTGATAAAAGGAAATGACGGTGTTAATAATCATAAAACATCTTTCATAATGACTCACTTCTATTATTCTGTAAGCTACTTTTGCGTTCTGCTAATTTCCTATGCCAAAATATTAGCAGGAGAAACGATGATTAGCGATACTTCTTCTATATTCTGAACATCACACAAAGAACAAGAAAATGACTCTCAGAACGATAAAAGTCATTTGTAGGGAGTAAACAACTGTTGTGTTTTTTATCGATCATACAAAAAACTTCTATATTATAAAGAAGAAGATCTGTTATTGGTCTACTATATACTGTGTTTTTTCGTAAGATCTCAAACAGACAGAAAATTCGTCAATATTAATTCTGTTTCTTTTATTATAAGACTTTCTACTAGATTAATTTTATGAAGACAACTGATTCTAGAATTATTGAAACTATATTTATTTTTATTTTAGATTTAAATAGATTCTCTATTATATAAGTGAAATTATATGAGATAAAATAATCATTAATCCACAGGAAATATCACAAAATGATTATTTATTTCTTTGTAAAAATAATTGCTTGATGAACACATATCAAATTGAAAATAAATAGATTATTTTTTTTATTTCACGTATTTTTTATTTACAAAAAAACATTCTTTTCATTGATTACAATTCAATGAAATTATTAAGAATTCATGTAAGACTATCTTACGGTTCTTATGCAATTTTTATATGAAACACGATTTATTTCTATAGTTGATCTTTACATGATTTGATATAAAAATAAGAAAAGTAACATGTCTATACTATTTTGAAAGAAAATCGAAAAAAAAGAACACAATAAACTTTGAATTATTACCATATGAAATCTTCATTGATTTCTTCAATTATTTTGATGTTAGTGATCTTGTTCCGCTATTTTATTTTCTTAATCATCGGTTCAATCTTTTTTCTAATAATTTATTTTGATATTACATGTTAACTTAATATATCCAATTATTGTTCATCAAAATCTTTCTCTTTTATTTATTCCTATAATATATTGATCAATAAATATCAGAATCTGTTTTTTAGTTATAGATTGAAACGTTTTTTTTATTAGATGATGATCGTTATTGAAAATATCATTGACTTTAGATATATCATAGTGAAGAATTTAATTTATGGAACAGTCGAAAAATATTGAAAAAAAAAGAATTACATATTTATGATAACATGACAAATAAAGATTTAACATGATTACTTTTTATTATTGGTGAATAATATGTGAATGAGATATTAACCTTTTTAATTCATTTACAAACGAGAACTGAACAAATTGATGTTTTTATAACAAGAAAACTATTTTATAATAATAATAACCATTGGATATTTCTAGCAAGATCATAGAATATGCTATCATAATAGATGTTATCATGTTTATAGAGATATTGTCAATTGTTTAACAAAAGAATCCATTAAAATTCAAGATAGATTATTATAGACAATAACTTGGAGATAATTCTAAGTATATCAATTCAATTAATTAAATTTAAACTGCAATAAAAACCAGGGTGTGGGTGATAGCGTAGATAAATAATGAACATTAATGCACACTCACACACACATCCTCAACAGCCAGGTAGTGTATGCAGATACGCGGTTACAAAAATTATAAGAAATAATATTATTATTGTTATTGTGATATAGAGTTAAAGATGTGCTAACACCCTCAAGAGAGTAAATATACGTCAGTTAGACGTTCATAATCTGATTCAGAATCAAGAAATGTATTTAGATCAAAAAGACGTCAAGTTTGAAAATTACGACTGAAATATTGTATTATATTTTCGATATGCTTACAATAGTACAAATACATTTTTTCTAAATCCATTTGTGCATATATATATATATTTAAGATACTCAAAATAATTGTGGAGTTAATTAAGTAATCTTTATTATTATTATTATTATTATTCTATGATAGTTTCAGAATACGATATCATTAAATAATCATTTATAAATAAATAATTTAAACATATTTTTCGAATTATTCTATATACTAACCTTATTACATTTCAAAGTAGGACAATAATATTTGTATCCGTAGAACAATACATGTGCGTTATTATGCCTATTTAAAATGACGTTCTATCCAATAAGTAGTCATCAAACATCACTCAAGCGTTACACACGTTAGACTAAATTCGTCATTTGTACGGATACATCACAACACAAACAATAATGAAATACAACGAAAAAACTAAAACTGATATTTTATCAATCTCCTCTTCAGATTTTAACCGATTGCGATGGATTTATTTATGAAAAACATAGCTGGTGATTGTTTGCATGGTTCTCATCGATATGCTCTCTATGAAAGTTATGGATTAAGTTGTTCAAATATTCAATTCATTTATATTGTCTCATACACATCTTCATTAGTTATTGGTACATTTGCTGCTTCACTTGCTGATTTATAGTAAGTTATTTTCATCTATATTATCTTTTGAAAGAATACAGTTAATTATATATCATTATTTAGTGGACGTCGACTAGGATGTTTACTTAGTAATGTTGTCTTTATTCTAATGAGTATTTTAATGGTAAATATTACTAGAAAGTAGTGTTATTACTAAATCATTGTTTGATTAAGAATTTTTCTTCAGTATGGATTCTAATGATATCAGGCATATTTTCGGGTATAGCTGATACTTTTCATTCAACAGCATTTGATGCTTGGCTTCTACAAGAATATCAAGAGATATATCATTTATAAAAAGTTCGTATTATATTA